GGGGGGGGAGAAGAAAATAAACAGGATGAGAGCTCCGATAGTCGAAGATCTGACCTTGAATATTGAAAGGCGAGAGGACAGCCTGTTTACAGAATGGGTAGAGGGGGACGGGTAAACACAGACAGCTCTAAAAGCTGTCCTCTTTCAGGATCAGGCGGAAGGCACTTTGTCTTTCTAGTACAAAGCACAGGCTCTGTGCGAAGGCAGCTGTCTTACACTGTGAGCACAGAGCAGCAGACCAGCACGCACGCTGCTACACAGACTTTGTGGTGAAGGCTCCATGGGTTGGCCAACGTACACGCTCAGTGTTTATCGGCAGCTCCAGACAAAGATTGCACCGTCAGGCTATCGAAAGAAAAAAAGAGCCGTGCGAAACGTTGTCTTTGGCTGAAGCTTTATTCGCATCGTGCCTCGGGGAGCTTGGAGCGCCGGCAGAGCGCATGACGCGCTGAAATTCATGAATGAAGGGCCCACATGGCAGGGCTGGGCGCTAGTGAGCCGCTCCGTTCATGAGAATGTCAGTGATGGGAATGAAAAATGCAAATGGCCGTGGCTCCGGTGGAGCTGATTCTCACGGCGTACTCCGCTCCCTACGCGCACGTCCATTCACAAAGACGTTATTTATCGCTCTCAACGCGTTCCGCCGAGCGCAGGGACCCCCGCGGCCATCTCCCCCGCGCCCAGGCGAGGGCGGCTGTCACGGTGCGGCCACGGCTCGGGCTGGGGACGAGGAGCAGAGCGGAGCCGCTGACCCCCGGCCCTCACACCGCCCCCGCCTGTCCCCGTCAGCGGTGCCCGCGGGAAGCGGCGAAGCCCCCCGCCGCCGCCTCCCACCAGGGTGCTGGGAGCGGGGAGGAGGCGGGAGAGCGGCGGGAAGGAGCCGCCCCCGCCGCCGGGGCTGCGAGAGAGCCGCCAACCGCCGACCTGAGGGCGGACAGCCGCCCCGGCCCCTCGCCGCGGGGCGAGGTCCCGCGGCCGCTCCCCGGCGTCCGTCACCCCGAGGCCGTTCCCCCGTGCCTGTCCGTTAGGAAACGCGCGTCTCTTACAGACAGCCGTCAGAAAATGCCCGCGTTTGTGATTTCCAGCCCGGAGAACGAGGGCTACCGGCTGAGAGGCGGGGCCGCCGGCGGGGTGCGTTGTTTCAGCACCTCAGCCCGCGGACAGCGACGGAGCCCGCGGCGGCTCTACCCGGGCGGCCCCGCCGAGCTCCGAGCTCCGACCCGCCCCGGTCACAGCAGCCCCCTCCCCGCAGCCCGCTTCCCCGCAGTTTGCAACGGGGAGAGGCGAAATCTGCCCGCGAGTGAAGGCAGGTTGGGCAAACTTCGGAAGCCAGACTCACCCAGCACGTTCCCGACGAGAGCCACGATGAACACGACGATGTATCCGGCGATCAGCGCCCATTCGTATTCCTTGGGATGCAAATACTCCTTCCAGAGGTAGCGCAGGAACTCCTCATCGTCGTAATCGGCGGATGGGGTTAAAAAAGGCTCCCTCGTTTCGTTTAGCTCTGGAGAGGACGTCCAGTTCCTGCACGGAGGCGAAGCATCCTCGGGCTGAGTCCCGGACATCCCTGGTGGTGATCCGGGGGGTTGGAGGAACCCTCTCAGCGCTCCACAGCTCTCTCCCGCCCCTCCATTGAGACTTGTGATTGCCAGTGCCAAGCGGGGTGTGGGGAGAAAATGACGCGGGAACTTCGGGAACCAATGCGGGACCAGGCTGGGGCTTCGAGCCGGCCCCACACGCCCGGTTGCCTTTCCCCGGGCGGGCAGGGTGCGCAGCCTCCGCGGCCGCGGGGAAAGCCATCCAGACGGTTGCATCCCTCTCTTCTGACTCCAGTGCTTCACTTTTCAGCTCTTCCGCGTTTGGACGTAAAAGGGCATCTGTTGGAGATATCTCTAGGTGAAAGGACGTGAATTTGACGTGCTGCAACAGAGGAGACACAGGATGAAGGGAGCCATTCAAAATGAGACGTTTGTGTCTCTTTGCAAAAGTTGTGTGACTCTACTTCTAATGAATAAACTTAACACAGAGCCAGATGTTCATGAACACTTAGCTCTAGTAGGCACTGGCTAAAACAGATGAATGGGAAAATCTCAGTCAATATAAGCACCTTTTCCATTGACACGTCTCACTCTGTTCAATTCTATATGCACCTCCAGAGGAATGTGAGTCTGCTTTGACTGTACTTCCAACGTGTAAACTTAAGAGAGAGCCAGATATTCATAAACACTGCAGTGCTTAGCTCTATACAGCGATTCAGCTTCCTGAATCCTTTGTAAGCATACAGCATTCCCTTCAAAGTCGAATCCAGCATTCTTCTACCTGGTTTTGCCTTTGGGCACCTATTTCTATAGACTTGCTGTCTTTGATATAGCTTTCTTTCCATAAAATAAAGAAAAAAATATCCCTTTTCTATCCCCAGGGAAGTTACATGAACCTTTTAGGATAAAGATATTAAAGAATGAGATACACTTGGATATAGAGGTAAGATCAACACCTCACATAAACTAGAAAAGTAGATATTGCAGACCTCATAAATAAAGATTAGACACTCCTCAACTAATGAAAACAGCTGAGGTTATATCACTAAATGTATGAATACTGGGAAGAGATCTAAGGTCTCTTGAGAATGTGGAAATGCAGGTGTACTTGGTGCACAAAAAGAGACGTTTAAGGAGTTTGTCATGGTTTTCACAGCTGACACAGAGTATGGCCATTTGGTGATCAGTAGAAGGAAGCCACACACATTCTTCAGCTTGTTTCATATATTAAAATGTTGATCCGTAATTTCAATGTTTGCTTCCAAGTAGCCATGAAGTAGTGTTTTTGTTTTTGTTTTTGTTTTGTTTTTTGGACTGAATTCTTCTTTCTTTCTCTCTCACCAGTAGTAAGGAATTGAATTAAAAAGACACAAATATTAAGAAACAATATGGTTTTGATGAAAAATATATCCTAGAGTTTTTTTCTAACTAGATTGTAAGTTTGATTTATAAAGGCATAAACGACTGGTTATACACATTTATAAGCTGCACAGATGTGCTATTCCTAGAGTGCTCTAAGATATTTGCTTTTATTGGTATAGTACATTCTGATCAAGTAGACTGTGTAATAAAAAATTGATATGCCACACATTATAAAGGTTAAAAATTGACTAATAAAGAGATTCCAGAATGAAACAGTAAACAGAGCCATCCCTGAGCTCATGTATTTCTGCTGTCAGTTCCGGGTTCTGTTGCACTCATCAGTCAATGACCTTCCAGAAGCTGGCAAGTTATCCAAAAATTAGAGATAATCAGCTATACACAAACACCATCATGATTCTGCAGCCAGAAAGCTTTGTGTGATAACTGATAGTACAGATAAGTATATCTGTAGAAACAGATGAAGATATATAGAAATACAAGAGAAACTCAACTCAGCTAGAATATGCTTCTGCCACAAAGATCTGCTACTGGGGAAACACTTCTCAAAGTGAGTCATTTTAGCAGTATGTTTTAAAATCAAGATTGAATGCTTTTCTAAAAGATAAGTGCCAGCTGAAATGGGAATTAATTCAGAAAAGTTGTCTGACCTGTAGCATGCAAGAGGTCAGACTGGATGATTAGAGTAGTCCCTTCTGGCTTTCTAATTTGTGAAGATGTGTTAGTAAAATAGATTAATTTGATGAATTTTACCACTGACTTATCTTTTAATTATATAATTTATAACAAGAGTAGTGCAAGAGTTTAAATCTGTTTCTTTCATATGCAAGTGAACAATAAATGCTCAAAAGTAATTCCTATTTTGTTACCCTATTTAAAATAAAAATAACTATTTAAAATTCCATAAATTGTGGTTTTAAAAACTCCTACAAACAAAGAATTTTCTGGCTGTCCTGCACTTAAAAGGAGGATAAATTCAGGTTTATCTCTATTAAAATAGAGATCTAATGTAAATGCTGTCTAGTACTTCATTTATCTGGAGTCTTCACATACACTGATATCATCTGTAATCCATAATTTTCCATCACTAATCCCCAAATACTGAAATTATCAGCCCTGAAAGATATGCCCTGTGGCTTTCAGTGCCACTTATTATATGATATTAGATAATGTGACTATAGATCAAATACAATTCCATGCTTTGTTGCATCTGATAGCTAAAAGGATATGACATTCATAGAGAACAAACCAACTGTAATTCAGCATCCAAACTTAATGGCTTGTCAAGCACATTTTCTCCCTCCATTGTAAATATTCTATTGCTGATATATGGTTTTATTAATTGCACAAATGGGCAGCAGTATTTCCTATGTAAAAGACTAGTCTTTTCATTTTAAAACTGATTTTATTTGGAGGTTAGTTTCATACTCTTCTAGTATCATATCGCATTTGGAACCTTTTATCAGAGCAGAATGGAATTGAAAGTTTTTGCAGACTTAGGTTTAGAGGAAGCTGAGCCTTAGGATCTCTTGGCTGAACACTTAACACGTATTTTCATTCTTGGGAAGCAAGTCCATAAATATGTCTGCTGAAGAGAAATAGACTGTAGTATTGGCAGTAGTGATGAATTGTGTGAATATATCCTTCCTTCCCATTTTTCTTTCACTACTCTGATTTAACAACTTTTCTCTGCCTCCTTTCTTGCTGTTATGAAATATGCCACATGATTGCTCAATAGAAAAACAGCCTTACCATTTATTTGCTTGAGCAGTCCTGTTCAGTCATATACAGTGTTTTGTCTGTGAAATCCCTTTGGTATCTTTCCTCCTGTAATGTTATTTCAAGGTGGAACTACTGCTTCCCTGGCAGCAGCACTAAGTAGTTCTTGAAAGAATTTGGACTATCATCAGCTAAGTATTACGAAGAAGGAAAGATATTAAATGGGTAAGCAGGGAGAAGAAGAGAGCAAGAGAGAGAGACTGATGGAAAAGGGCAGGTTTGGAAACCTCTGCAGCCATAAAATTTGGTGGGGTAATAACTACCAAGAAGAAGGTGCAAAGAACCATGAAAGAAAAAATAATACTGTAGGCTTGCGAAAACAATGGAATTAATCAGAAAACCTTATAAATGACCGTAATGATGCTCCATCACACAACACACTTATAGCACCATATTTTCTTTAGGTCCCCTTTTGTCTTACCATTAATTCATTAATAAACTGTGGGCTAAAAGATCAAAACTAGTTTTAGCATGATAAATATTATTCAAATCTGCTGCCAAATTTTTGGAACCACCACTGATACAAAAAGTATTCAGCAATCAGCCATGTTTTGCCAACTTCAGGCATTTTTCTCTTTATGTATAGAAACCAGAACAAGATCCTGCTTTATGCAATTCAACAGCAGTTGAACTACTATCTGGGTACTACAGTTACCCAGATATATTAAGATTACTAGCTAAGCTCTATTGATTTATTTGCTCCTAGCACTATTAAAATGAGGCAAAGCCAGGGTGACTTGCTCTAATTCTAGCAGTGATTAGATAAGAAAAGTCAGCAGCTGGCTAATTTATACCACCATCATTATTAATATCTATGAATATAGAAGGCATTTAGATAGAAAGAAAGTCTGATTCCAGCCTTCCAACTTGTACAATTCATCAAAAATATATATTAGTGTAAGCATACAATTCCTCCATGCTTCACTTGGGCCTCCTTCTTATTTACTGCCAAATACTGAAAGGAGTTCACAAAACCGCTCATTTTGATTAGGAAACTGAAAAAGTTCCATGTGTAATATTCACTACTCCATAAAGTCTATAAACATTTAAAAGCAAATACATTTAATGATCAGGATACAGATCCAACCTGGATGGAACAAATTACGATACACCTTTCCTGAAGAGGTCTCTGAAGTCTAGATATTAGCTGGAAGAGGGACAACTATGTGCACCTTTTCGTTAGAGAAGATATGCCCAATGGCAATTTCAGTCAGCAGGATTAAATAAGTAATAAATTCACCTCATGTTTATGTGAATACCAAAACTTCTTGTAGAAACCAAGGCAAATTTATTACAAAATTATTCAATTTGTTACAGCTTCCACCAAGTGCTATTTGGATGGAACTTTTTACTTGAGAGAAACCAAATAAAATTCAACTCCAAAGACAGTTGTGTGTGTTTTTTTTTTTTTTTTTTTTATATAAATAATTTCCCTGGTATCTATTACTGATCCACTTAGAAGTAGCACAGGTGTCACGGAGTTAACTAGATCAATCTATGCCCATGACAGGGGGCAGTAGGCTCCTGCCCCTCCATCCCCTCCCCGGCCCCACAAAATGGGAAAGAAGGAAGGGAGGAAAAAAAAAGAGCGGCAACAATCTATGGAGGAAAGCTTATTTTACTAACTATGATATCGGAGTGCAAGATAACACAATGTAATACAATCCAATATTCTAATATTGAGACTAATAAATCAAATAAGATAGGAGAGAGAGAGTTCCTGAGACCGAGTCAAACCTGAAAGGCTTGGAACGGCTAGGAAAGCACCTTCCAGCACCCACTGCCAGGCAGTAAGAGACCGCCCCCCCAGAAGGGTCAGATCCCATGACTTCCGTAATGTATAGGGATAAGTACCTGGAATTGGAGCATTAACACTTTAATTCCAGTACACTACATGATGTTTTGATGCGGAATATTGAAAACCAAAAGACATAAAACCATGACAACAGGGTCTTTATTGTGATCTGAGACAAGATAGGTATGTTCACACAGAGTATTTTGAGAAATAAGAAGATAGAGGCACAAAGATCTTTTTTGTTTGTTTGTTTTAATAATTATTTAAAGGAAATAAAAGTCTTTCATATGCATCTACGTATTATATGAAGATATTAATGTCAGAGCTCTGGATCTATCTTTTGCTACATTCGGAAAGGAACAATCTACGTTCTTCAGAATGAAAATTTCAAGTAGGCAATGTGGATTAATAGTGGGAAGTGAAACAGTGACAAGTTTTTAAGTAATGTATCACTTTCAGTGCTATAAAGGTAAATGACATTGACTTGCATGACAAGCTTTGACCTATATTTTCTGTATTCAGATTCAATGACGTACTGCCACTTGGTGACGTAACATCAGACCAAAAGTACCACATTGTCTTTATGCTTTCA